CATTCATTACCCAGAGGTGAAAGAGGAATATGTCTTTATAGCAAGTAACATAGGTCTTTTTATTTCCCAACTGATAATCTGTACAAGTTACCTTAAAATACGCAATCGGTTGCGCGCATCATCACCAGGGCTTGATATTCATGGCCATCACTTACAGGCACACAATCTACGGCTTTCTAAAACGCTTTTCATCACAATCGCTTCGTCGCTTGTGTTTTGGATACCTGGTTTTGTAGTTTACTCAACTAGAGAATTTTGTCCTCAATGCTTTCCTGTACCAGTAGTTTGGTTCGCGAATGCTATGTATCTGGCAAATTCTATGGTGAATCCCTTCGTCTACAGTTTTAGGATGACAATATTTAAAGACGCTTTAAAGAAACTCTGCAGGAAAAGACAACAGAACATAGGACCAGGGTTAGCAAGTCGGCATGCACAGAGCCTTGTATTTTGACTATCAAAAGCCTGTCACTTATTCAGCATAAAGGTATACCAACATCTACGGTTATGAGTTGATATGTCAAACTAGGGATAGCAATATAATGACGCTGATTGTGAAAAATGATCACTGAAATAGGCTGTGGTCACATTGTGTTTGCAGTTGAAATAACGCAAGGTATGCACTTGTGGAAAGTCCATTTTACAGGGTGGTTTGGCAGCGGTTATGTAGTGGTTTATTTCCAGATGGAGAAGGGAACAGTGGATCTTAACAAAACATGTTCAGTTGAACAGTCAGCGCCTCTCATGGTTCTTGTCAGTTGAAGATGTTATTTTGGTCTACCTGCCATACCATTACAAAATCTAAAAGGTGCCAATGTTTATAGCGGGGTTGCGAAGAGGTCAAGTATATGACCCCTATATTAGCAACAGCATGGTGAACTGGAAGACAGTTTGGGCGGGATAACATCAGAAGAGGAATCTGGCAAGGAGACTCCCTATCATCCTTTTTTTCAATTGTCATGTTGCCACTCACAATAGTGATGTGAAGTATATGAAATAATTCATTTTTGAACTGCGGTTGTAGATGAAAGTGAAGAATGATCATCGCAGTAAATTTTCCAATTTAAGCAATTGGAAAGAAGAAGCCTGAAAAAAATCGGGGCTTCAACGGGATTCGAACCCGTGACTTCCGCGTTGCTGGTGCGTTGCTCTACCAACTGAGCTATGAAGCCACACATTGGCCTCGCTCCCAATGTGTGGCTTCATAGCTCAGTTGGTAGAGCAACGCACCGGCAACGCGGAGGTCGCGGGTTCGAATCCCGTTGAAGCGCTGATTTTTTTCAGGCTTCTTCTTTCCAATTGCTTTAATTGGAAAATTTACTGCGATGATCATTCTTCACTTTCACTCACAATAGTGTTACGAAAAATGAGGGCTGCAGGATATAAACTGGCGAAGGCGTGAAACCCATTAACCATCTATTGCTCATGGAAGATTGGGGGTTTACGGAGCTAACACAGACAAACTTAAGTATTAAAAGAGGTGTTCTCTTGACGCGGAGAAAAAGACGACAGAACACAAGTCCAGCTCAGCAAAATAGTCCGTGCTTTTGCCCGGAAGGAGCTTCACTCCAATACTTTTGATCTGCCTGAAGTACAAAAATATTGAAAGCTCAGATTGTATGGCATAATTAATTAGGTAAAAGCCTTATCTATGCATTCAACAACTGTGAAGCGTACACCTTTGAAAGAGTTACGCTAAATGCACAGATCATTCTGGTAAAATGTACAATTACGCGAGTGATTTTTGTAGCTTCCATCACCAACATGGTTGTAAAAGAATGATATTTTTATATTTTGTTTCGTTGATTGCCATAAATTAATTATCCCATCGTCACCCCTTAACAGCTTGATTAACCCATATAAATCACAGGCTGCCAGATTGTGAATCATTTGAAGGAGGTGAAATTGTTGAAGATACGATTTCTGACATTAAACTTGTTGCTACTTGAAAAATTCTCCTTTTTTGAATAGCCTCAAACGCGTTTGACATATTTGATATTCACTAATAAGACTGAATGACCCTCATGACGCGAGTTAAAGATAATATCCTGTGCTGTGTTAAATTTCAGCGCTGTTAACTTATTTAAGAAATTATTGGTATAATATGTAATGCTTTTATTCATGCAGTGCGAATAGGTGCAGGTTACTCGGCTTAAGTCTTAGATAACTAACAAAAGCTCATGGTTATGTGATGCATTTTAATGCCTGAAAAGTTCAGTCTTACATTTTTCCCAAGTCTAAGCAGTAATCAAATAACGAAAAAAAGTATCTTTGTGATATTTGTGACATTTAAATGAATATTAACTTTTTCAAATCACTAATTAGTTGTAATATTTCAAATAATATTTATGCCACTCTTTTCTCAGAAGAGGTCGATGATATGCGATAAACTTTCATTTGCAACGAGCTGCCGGGCTGATGATACTTATTAGCCAAGCACTAATGACATGATATACAGTTTTTAAACAGTTAGAGAACGGATGTAATAACGCTAAGTGCGTTTATAGAAACACTGAGATCCCCATAAACCTTAACGAATATTTCACCATTTATCATTTTGAAATATCGCACTTGTCAAAACGAAAATAATATATGAACAGGAAAAAGCTACATTTCCCTTATTCGACACCCTCTCAAAGATTAAAAACATGGAAAAAGGCATTCTTTTTTTCATCAATACTGAAAAATTGTAATTATTTACCTGTATATAGGAGATGATTCGAATATAATATAAATCTTTCGATGGGTAGATGTTTAATGAGCCAAAAAATAATCTTACGGCACACAAATCAGGTTTAGATTTTGTTTTAAGTTCGTCGTACTTTAATTTCATATCTATTATGCGTTATTAAATCACCAGTCTTTTTTATATTAACAATACACTAGATAACCCCGATGTCCATAAAACTGATAACCGAAGTATAAGATCTTTTCATTGTAGATGCGAATAAATAATCGTGTTTATTGACACGTGATGTGGATGTTGTGAAACCGACTTTTTATCCTCACGGTTTCTTTGTGGCCAACTGAGATTAACATCAGGTCTCCTCAACTTATCAAATAGCAATTATTGGATTCGGCTTTCATTTAGTGATATGAAGAATTAAAAAGATTGAGGAGGGGGTTATCGGCCGTGATCTTCTAGTCCGACATCACATAAACATGCCAGTTACCTTCATTTTTGTACAGATCCTATCTTCAATGCCTCACTCCTCTGCACTCTAAGGTTATGAAGGGAGAATATTCATTCTAGCATAGAATGAATAATAATACTCATTTAAGCTTACTGAGCTGTACTAACTCGGTGTATGAACGGAACTTTATTTATTTTAATCATTTCTACAAAGAAATTTGTAGAATTTATGCGTTTTTCCAAAGCGCATAAATATTATTCAATAGCGTGGGAGAAGTCCATGCAGTAAGTCAGTTTAATTAAAAAAAATAAAATTAAAGTAAATTACAAAAAAGAAACACGCACACACATATACGGCAAGCAAATTTAATGCCATGGTCAGAATGTTTTACTTAAAAATCAATTTTTGTGGGCTTAAGAAATGAATATTGATATTTTTTTGCCATTTATTTTATCAACTGCATTAGCAAAACATAACATGACATGCTTTGTAATTAAAGACTTGATACTTGGGCATTTGGCATGGGCTTTGCAAATAAGTAATTTTTTAAGGCTGATAATTCATAAAAACAAAATATGAGTGTTGCAGTGACAACAGCATCATGGATTCCCTGAAATAACTTAGATGAGATGAGTCCTGATTCAGTTGCCTTCCTGACAATCACACTTTTCAAATGACACTTAATGTTAGATCATGTTCTAGTTTTCACGCTTTTCTCCCTTAAATTTTAGTTAAACATGAACATTGAAATTGTCAATTTTACAAACAACGAAATGTATATAAAATTACCGCTGAAAGAACATGAGCGGAATATGTTGATTAAATCTATGCACTAATATACACAAAAGGAGTGTTAAGTAAGACACATTTTTTTATGAGATGCCAATTTCATTTGTGAATTTTCTTTTCTATTCCTTTCTTATTACTGAACCGTTTTCATTTTTGTTAATTGAAAATGACATCCCGAAGTATTCTGCTATCATACTAGATGCAAAGCGCGTCTATGTACACTGCTGCTAAGAAAATGTCGTAAAATTAGCGCTTACGGCTTCTAGTTTATTTTCAACATTATTACGACACATGTTAATTTAGTCATTTCGTTAGCTTCGTCAGCTTCAAGCATCATGTATCTTGGACTCACTGAGCTTTACAAAGATCCGTCCTATCTGCCTTCATGTAGAAACTCAGTATGTATATTTGGTCTACAAAAACAGTATTAATACTGAGAAATAATATAGGAACGATATTTTCTTGTCATCTTCGCTACTGTGACCTTTTCAACTGTGCTCGAGTTGTTCTTAAGGACGAAGTATCTGGTTGCTGGTGGATTGGGATAGGGAACTAGATAACAGAACGAGGAAAGACATGCCTTCATCGACGTCCATTTTGTTCGCAGTCATCTACGCACTGGAGGCAATCATGATCATTATTGGAAACACGTTTACTATTATCGTATTCTGGAATCAAAGATCCGGCATAAAACGAACTTATTTTCTTTTGATTAATCTCGCAATTGCAGATTTACTTGTAGGGATTACAGAACTAACAGTCTTGGCAGCTTTCAAATTTGAGGTCATGCTAGAAAGTGACACACTATTGATGAATCCTTCGGTTGCTTTCCAAGTTTTGTTTCCGAGTACGTCCGTCCATTTTCTCGCGCTTGTCTCCTTGGAACGTGCTTTCTCTGTGTTATGGCCAATCCGCCATCGTTCCACAAACAGTCGAGTTTACATCTTTAGTATCGTTTTTGGGTGGGCAGTTGGACTTTGCTTCTTTGCTTTAACCCTCATCGCCATTCTTTACCCAGAGGTAAAACAGGAATATGTTTTTATCACAAGTAACACAGGTCTTCTTATTTCCCAACTGATAATGTGTATAAGTTACCTTAAAATACGCAATCGGTTGCGCGCATCATCACCAGGGCTTGATATTTATGGCCATCATCAATTACAGGCACACAATCTACGGCTTTCCAAAACGCTTTTTATCACAATCGCTTCGTCGCTGGTGTTTTGGATACCCGGTTTTGTAGTTTATTCAACCAGAGAATTTTGTCCTCAATGCTTTCCTATACCAGTAGTTAGGTTCGCGAACGCTATGTATCTGGCAAATTCTATGGTCAATCCCTTCGTCTACAGTTTTAGGATGCCAATATTTAAAGACGCTTTTAGGAAACTCTGCAGGAAAAGACAACTGAACATAGGAGCAGGCTAGCAAACCGACATATACACAGCCTTGTATTTTGAGTGTCAAAAACATGTCGCTTATTCAACATCAAGGTACAGTGAAACTTCGCCGTACGGCCACCACGGGAATATGGTCTCCTCGTTATTACGGCCACTTTTTTTGGCTGCCCGGCAAAACGGCCACACATTTTTTTTGTAAAAAAAAAAATCTCGTTAATACGGTATCGTTAATACGGCCAAAATTTTTTGGGCAAATTGGTGACCGTATTAACGGGGTTCCACTGTATACCAACATCTACGGTTATGAGTTGACTCAGTTGGTATGTCAAACTAAGGATAGCAATATAATGACGCTGATTGTGAAAAATGATCACTGAAATAGGCTGTGGTTACATTGTGTTTACAGTTGAAACAATGCGAGGTATACACTTGTAGAAAGGCCATTATATTTGCACTGATCAACACAGACTGTTCACAGTCTCCTATTTTTTCGTAAGATTGTCAAGGATCGAGCGCTTACCGGCTGGTATGGGTGCCATCTTGGTTGTTAATCCAAAGTGGCTACCCGTAACGAAAAGCGCTCGATGTCGACGATCTTACGGAAAAACAGAGCAGTACTGTAAAATACCATAGTACAAAGTAGTTTCAGTTTTGAATCTTAGTAGGTACTTTTAATTGCTCGTTTTTCCAGAAGACTTTTCGTGGTGAAGCATGAAATTATTAATTCAAACACAGTTTGAACAGTAAAACTTGAAAACTATCGAGGCTACCAGCGAATACGACCTCTACAGTGACTGTGTGATAAACTTTCCCAAGGTCGAATCATCTCAAGCTCTTTTTAACCTCTCATCGCGGTTTTGCAAGGCGGCAGTGGATAAATAAAAACGAAATGGTTTGCAATGACAATTATACCTTAAACCCCCGTTGCCCATGAGAAGAACTTTGACGAGATGATTTAGTATTTTTTAAATTGATGTTACTTTTTATTTATGCAACTTAAATGTTGAGTGGATGAAACAATCATTTCTTTTTGCAGCGTTTTCCCATCTAAACAATAATTCGCTCATTCAAAGGAAGTGCACATATAAAAGGGCATTAATACTAATCTGTAAGTAGCATTTTCTCTAGAATAAAGTAAAGAAAACAGAGAGCGGCGTTTAGATATCATGGGGTGAAATTTTTAGGTTTTACATACATGTTGGTTTCGCGCGAACCATAATGTTTTTTGTTGCGTTGCTAACTCGTAGAGCACAGAACTTCTAAGTTTTTGTTTCATTTTATTTTCGACAATTTAACCTACATGCTAGACTTTCAAAAAAGTCCTTCTTCGGATTTCATATGACGAGGAACGAAGACCTCTCTCGACTTCGTCGCTCGCGGTCGGTCGCTTTGCAGCCAAGAAGGCTCGCTCCGCTCGCCGATAGCTCGACTTGTAGCAAGTCTACCTACACGCGTGCTTTGTATTTTCTATAGTTTTTACCGCACCAAAAGCCGGATGTACTAAATGTAGCAACGCATTAGGTGGTCATAAAAAACCGGATTTATCAAAACATGATGGCTTGCTAGTCATGCTGCTAAAACCGTGTGGTCATAAAAAAGAGCTTAGGGGCAGTTATCGACCGTTAGTCGTTGTAGCTTCAATATCAGTACTATGCATGTTAAGTAACTTCGTTGAGAACTCAGATTAATTATCAAATTACATTCGACTCGAAAAACTAATTGAACCTTATCGAGCTTTACCCACACGCAACGTACTCTCTTACTTAGTCTAAACTAGAATTTGTCGCTAAACAGGCCGGGATATGGTTTTCACGGTCTTGAGTATACAGTTTCACTATTGGTCAGTGTCTTGGAAAGTATGTCTCTTCGGAGCAGAAGCCTTTAAAAAGTGTGAAGGTTGGCGATAAGCAATACATAGACCTTAATAACGATACTCGCAATCTTTGCACGCACTTTAAAATTTGCCAATACGACAAGAGAAAATCATGGTCGAGTTGATTCGAGGACGATGACGACACGTTTTTCCGCGTATTCTCAAAACTCTACAACCACTAGAAGAGTTAACACGGTTAGACAACACAGCATCACAGCATTGTTGCGACATTGTTCCGAATGACTGCAAGATTGTTTCAACATTGTAACGCTGTGTTGCGCTGAAAATCGTACTTGCAAATCGTCTCGCGTCACATCAACTTTAGCATTACGCGATTTTATGTTTCGTTTGATCAAGCTATAGATATTACCGAGAGCTTCGCTTTTAGCCCTGGATAAATCCATATATTAATTGCTTGTCACAAATTCGAGTTGTAAGTGAGAATTTCTCGTTATTCAAGGTAGCTTCGACTCCCGTCCAAGTTCCATTTCAACGCAAAACTGCATTAACTAACAGCGCTTTTGAAATAAGCAGAAATAACACCTATTTTTAGTTGTTCGCGTAACTATATGTAATAATAATAATAATAATAATAATAATAATAACAGACGCTTTTATAGCGCGGTATCCACTAATTGCTCAAAGCGCTGTACAAGAAACTAGAGTTAAAAACTATTATACGATAAAATTAAATTAAATAAAGCTACTGAAATCAAACATCGTAGGCTAATTTAAATAAGTATGTCTTCAACTGCGTCCTGAACAACTGGTCGACAGATGTAACAGCCCTGAGTTCAGGGGGCAATTGGTTCCATAACCTAGGAGCAGCTGCGGAAAAAGCCCTATCACCATACGTCTTTAAACTAGTCCTAGGCACGGCTAGAAAATTCTGGGAACTAGAACGAAGTAATCGTGGACCATTAGTGTAGCGTAAAAGTTCGGATAGGTAAGTTGGTGCCAAGCCATTTAGACATTTGTAAGCTAAGAGTAGAATTTTAAAATATTTGCGATAATTTAGCGGTAACCAATGAAGCTTGAACAGGATAGGAGTGATATGGTCAAACCGCTTAGATAATGTATGCGTGCAGCAGTGTTTTGTATCAGTCTTAACCTGTTTAACAGGTGTTTACGAAGACCATATAACAAAGAGTTACAGTTATCATGTTTAGAGCTAATAAACGCATGTACTAAAATTTGAGAGGTATCTTCACTTAAGTACTTCCTGATCTTAGCTATATATATGTTCCTTAAATGATACTGACAGGAAACGCAGATTTTGTTACCATGGTCGGTTAAATCAAGACTCTGATCTATAATCACCCCCAGATTTCGGGCGGAAGGTTTGGGTTAGGTCTTCTCATCAACCACCTGGATAAACTCTAGAGAAGGCCTACAAAGAGATTTTGAGCTTATGAGAACAAGTTCAGTTTTATCCTGATTGAATTTAAGAGCATTGTTCACCATCCAACAATGAATGTCATTTACACAGCATTCGACACGACGCTTAGCCAAAGAGAGATCATAGCTACAGTCAGTTATGTACAGCCGGGTATCATGTATACCATATAACGACCTCAGTGGCGTAATGTATCGCACGCCGTAGCGTAAATTAACCGGGTCAAACATTGCTTAGACAAAAATACGTTGTTAACCGTAATACGTGCCTTAGTCTTCAGCAAAATGTACTACTGTTGGAATGTTTGGGCAAATACCACAAATAAGAATGTTAGAAAATTGCAGGCCGTTCAAAACTTTCTTTGCCGAATCGTCAGCGGTGCGAAAAAATATGATTATGTAACACCCCTCTAAAAAAGCCTGTCTTGGTTGCCTGTTAAGGACCAACTGTACTATCGCCAAGCTATTATAGCCTTCAAATGCATGACCGGTCAAGCCCCTGAACATCTGACATCCCAATTTATTACCCGTAAGCAAGTTAGCGAACGAACAACTCAGAGTAGCCAAAACCTAAACATCCCTCTTTTCAGAATTGCCTCTGGACAGAGAACCTTTTATTACAGGACTGTTAAACTTTGGAACAATTTGGAATCTTTTCTTAAGTTAAGCCCATCTGTTGAAATTTTTAAACGTTCCTTAAGAAGCCAGATTTTAGATAATTTTGTAAATACTTCTTAGTTAAGTTTAAAACATTGTATTTAGTAATTAGCTAACATTGTAATTAGCTGGATCAGACCAAGTGTTGTAATTAGTTATTATAAATAATGTAATATAATCATTATTCCTGAAAAGCCCCTTTGGGGAGGTAACAATAAAGTATGTATATATACAGCTGGGTATCGTCAGCGTATAAATGATACTGTAACTTGAGGAACTTGATGATATCAGCAATGGGTGATGTATAGAGGAGATAAAGAAGAGGGCCCAGAACAGATCCCTGGGGTACACCGCGTTCTAGCGAGCGCTGTGTTGACCTACCGTCATTGACCCGAACAAACTACGTGCGGGACGTCAGGTATGACTCAAACCATGCAACTGCAGTACCGTTAACGCCGAAACGGTCACGCAATCTTGATAACAGTATCGAGTGATCAACCGTGTCGAAGGCATCTGATAAATTCAATAAAAGAAGTATGACAGACTCATTTTTGTCAATAGCACACAGAATGTCATTCTGGACCCTTACTAAAGCTGTCTCGGTGGAGTGAAAGTTCTTATATGCAGACTGAAACGTCTCATCTAAGTGGTGCCCCATGACGTGATCTGTGAGTTGTATGACAACTGCCTTTTCAAGAAGCTTCGATACTACTTTTAGGTTCGAGATAGGACGAAAGTTTTGGAACTGTTCAAAGTCAGCATCAGATTTTTTCAATGTGGCGATAGTATAGCACCCTTCAGAGCATCGGGCACAACACCAGTCGATAAGGACAGATTGATGATCCTCATAATAGTAGGATGTAATACGGTAAGACAGCCTTTCAAAACTACCGCGGGTAGAGGATCAAGTTCACAAGATTTAGATAGTGGTTTCCTTGAAAACTTTTTTAATTTCCTCCAAGGTAACCTCAGCAAAGTTACAAAACTCTGCAACACAAACTTTGACGTCAGGAGGGGCAGACCCAACGCGTATTTTCCTTCCAACAAGCCCATTATGTATTTTATCAATCTTGCTGGTAAAGAAATCAGCAAATGAATTTGCCAGGGCAGTATCATCAGAAGAAAGAGGATAACGCTTGTTAGTTGATTTTTGCAATAACTTTCCAACAGTCTAGAACAATATCCTCTGATATGATGAATGTTCATTAATGATGTCAGTCAAATTGTTGACAACGTAGCACTGATTAACGTATTGCTCACGATCACATAGTAACCTAGTCGAACGCCACTTCCTCTCTAACCGCCTTCGAATGTTTTTCTGCACAACCACTTCTGGTTTATACCAGGGATCACGAGGTCGTAACGAGGGGCATAGAGATCCAAAAGGGATCGTAATAATGATCCACAAGAGCGTTGAGTTCCACAGCTTGATCCTGTAGCAAGGGAGAAGTCAAGATATCTTCACAAAAGGATTCAATATCCAAAGAACGCAGATTCCGATAGTACACCTTTTTCTTCGTAAAGTGCGGTTTTTGTACCCGCAGGTTACAATGAAACGCACAGTGATTCGAGATTACAGGGTCGAAAATCTTGATTTCAGTAATGAGAGGATTATCTTTTTTAGAAATTACAAGATCCAAAGTGTGTCCGTTAGCGTGAGTTGCTCCAGTAACGTGTTCTTTTAGGTTGCAAGATTCAAGAATTTCATTAAAGAGGTTTGCATAGATGCTACATGGGTCATCAACATGTAAATTGAAGTCACCAGATATTAGTAAGTGACCAGTGGATTCAGCCATAATTTGTTCCAGAAGCACTGAGAATTCTTCAAGAAATAGCACACATGAGGTGTAGAGACATTTATCCTTAACACTAAACTTAAGAAAAAAAAGTTAGGACGTACATTGGAGCCCTTGTGAAAAAAACAAATTATGTTTTAAATTAAAAAACATGAAATAATAATAATCGGAACTGAAATGACATAAACTGAATATAATTAAATGCTAGGGGACGTATTTTTTTTCAACACTTTAAATCTCACGAAAACAGTTTTTTTTTCTTTTTATTGTAATTTCACTTCAAATCTTTATTCATTATTTCCTCTTTACTTTTTATATGCATCAGAAGGTATGCTTTCTGAACTATTAGCGAGAAAAAGGCATAGAGAGCTCCAAACTGAAATAGTAGCCGAAGTGAGATGCATTATCATATCACCAGCTGCGGGGGGAAAAAGCCAAAAGAAAGCGCTCAAGGGCATATAATGTATGAACCGACGTTCTGTCATCATGATTACTGTGTAGGGTTATTAATTTCGTTGGCAAACCACGGTCCTCAGGTTATCAAGTCATTGAAGCTGACTAAAGAACAGAAAAACGTCTATATTCATATCAAATATGCTGGTTTGACTGAATGGCTAAAGGTGTTTTCCACATAGAAACAATATCCGAAGAAGATCATTGCTTAAAAACAAGGCAATATTTTTTACCTCGCTGGGGAATATTTGCAAAGTTATTATTCCTCGCAAATTTAGCTATTTAACAGAGAGTGCAAATGTCTTCATCAATATCAGCGTCCTTTATCTTCGTGGTCATCTACATACTGGAAGCAATCATCATCATCGTTGGAAACATCTTTACTATCTTTGTCTTCTGGACCCAGAGACCACATCTAAAGCGAGCGTATTTTATTTTGATTAACCTCGCCGTTGCCGATTTACTTGTAGGTAGTACAGTGCTAACCGTATTAATAGGAACTGCTATTTCACAAAACATCACAGACGGGTACAATGTGTTAAGGACAAGCCAATCATACCCCTTCGTGGCATTTGTAGTTCTATCTTCAAATACGTCTGTTTATTTTCTCGCGCTTGTCTCACTGGAACGTGCTTTCGCTGTCTTATGGCCAATCCGTCATCGCACCGCGAACAGTCGAGTTTACATCCATAGCATAGTTGTTTTGTGGACCGTTGGACTGTGTTTCTTTGCTCTAACCCTGCTTTCCTTCCATTATTCGGAGGTGAAAAAGAAATACATTTTTATCTCTACTGACGCTTGTCTTCTTATTTCTCTTTTGGTTATCTGTGCAAGTTACATTAAAATACACAATCAATTACGTGCACCATCACCCGAGTTTGATATCCATACCAATCAATTAAGAAAACGCAATCTTCCACTTTCAAAAACGCTTTTTATTGCAATCGCTTCATCGCTTGTGTTTTGGATGCCTGCGTTTGTTGTCTACTCAACGAGAGAGTTCTGCCAGCGATGCATTCCTGATAGCTTTGTGCCGTACGTGTATGCATTACATCTAACAAATTCTATGATGAATCCTATCGTGTACAGTTTCAGAATGCGAATGTTCAGAGACGTTTTGAAGGCATTGTGCAGGAAAAGACGACAGAACATGCATATGGAACTAAGAGCAGTTCAGCAAAAGAGACTGGGATATGATTTGGAAGGTTCTTTTACTCCCAACAAACATGAGAACGGTTCACCAATTATTCAATCGACTTTTGGCCATAATTAAGAAATAAAGCAAAAGCAAATATATTCATGCAGACAATGTATACGGCATATACACAGTTCAAAGACCACAAAGGCTTAATATTTGCCATTGCTAAGTCGCCTCTATGAATACTTTGGGCATGTTCTGACGTGCTGCTATCATATTTGAAATATCAGCCCAAGCGTGTGTGTTGGCTTAGATCGATGTCATACATTTCGCTAATTGCTGGTTAAACTTTCAGTCAAGGGTTGTTTAGGGCTTACATGCCTTTTGTAAGTTTTAATTGGCGTCTGCATAAAAAAAAAAAAAAACTCCACCTCGATGGGTCCACACCTGAGCCCGCGATGCGATCATGTGAGACTGGTCAGCGATACCCTGCTTTGACAACTGTCTAACTGTTATTATTTTCTTGTGCTAGTAGATATGGACATAACTCGGAAGAATGTCCAAGGAATTATGTTTTTGAATGTTGCATTTTGGTTATGTAATAATCTGCACCTAGGTGTCTTTTAAAGAGCTTTATCTACTTTAACAGCAAAGAAGTGACATATAAAACTGATAAAGGTTGCAAAAACTGGAGAAAAGAGCGGAACGGAAATCACAGAAGGAACTTTAAAGTACCTTCCAAGTGTATTTTTAGATTATAATCCTGCATACAGTACCAGTTTATAAATGTTAGCGGAGCCCCATAGCTAAGAAACTTGTGTTATCTATCTATCCCAGCATTTACCGTCCGTCCAAACCACAGGGTAACCAGTGTGAAATGTCACACTTTCTGGCTAGAAAGTAGATAAAATTAGATGAATATAAATCAAATGCAAAATCAACTTGGAAATTGCTTAACGATCTTATTAACAAGAAGAAAACTAAGTGTAAGTTGCCTTCCATTTTCAAATCGAATGAAGAGGAAATATTCAATCCTACTCATATAGCAAACCGTTTTTGCGAGCATTAGTAATTATTCGATTGATCGTGTTAAGGAGCTACTTTTCTTGGTGTAATTTTGGATGAACATTTAACATAGAAATCACATATACATAATGTTGCTCGGAAAGTGTCTAAAGACATAGGTATAATCTATAAATCAAGTTTTTGCCTTAATAATTCCTCCTTACGGATGCTTTATTTTAGCCTTATCTACCCATACTTATTCTACTGCGTGAGCGTCTGGGCATCGACCTACCCATCAAACCTTAGAAGATTAATCACACTTCCAAAACGGGTCGTAAGAATAAGGTCGAGGAGTGCTTTCGAGGCTCGCACTGACCCCTTATTTAAAAATTTAAAAATTCTGAATCTTGAGAGTATCTACAAACTTCAAATAGGAAAATTTATGTATGAATACAGATCTGGCTTACTTCCTTATAGCTTCAATAACATGTTTTTGGTGACACGCCAAGTGCATTCTTATGGCACTAGAAGTTCGGAGCTTTTTTATTTACCACAGTGCAGGACTAATATAAGAAAGTTCTCCATCAGTTTCCAAGGTCCTAAATTTTTTAACTCTCTTAGTTTTGAAATTCGAAATGCAACAAGTACCGCTTCCTTTTGGTGTAAGCTGAAAGCATTCCTCTTATCATGAATAGTAATATATATATATATATATATATATATATATATATATATATATATATATATATATGATGAAATGACGAAATTCAAATTGATCATCAACTAAAAAGTGCTCAATGGGTTTACCAGAGCTTTGAATAGATACGTAGACTTGAACTAGGTCAAAAACATTTACTTGATGATTGCTTCTCATGAAGCATGAAACTCTGAGTAGCAAGTAAATTTTTTTGACCTAGTTCAAGTCTACGTACCTATATATATATATATATATATATATATATATATATATATAAAATACACACATATATAATATATATATACATATATATATATATATATATATATATATATATATATATATAACTATAACTAGATAAAATGAAGACTTCATCTGCTATAAGAGTGCTCAATGGTAACACCAGAGCTGTAAATAGATAAAAGATGAACTTCTGGAGTCGGACTAGTTCAAAAACATTTAATCGCTACTCGGAGTTTCATGCCTCTAGAGAAGCAATCATCAGGCGACTGACAACATTAGCGGTCACATGTAAAGATATACAAATTTGAAAATCAATTTTGGTAATCAATTTTGCGTTGTTTTAGGTTCCATACGTATTTGGTAATTTGATTCAATAACCATAAATGCTCTTTCAGGAACGAAAGATACAAGAATAGCACAGAGCTTAGCAAATACGTATGGAACCTAAAACAACGCAAAATTGATTACCAAATTAAGTGGAGAAAAGTAAAGCAAGCTAGGTCTTACTCTAATGTCAACAAGAAATGTAATCTCTGCCTGTGGCAGAAATACTTTATTATTTGCAAACCGGAAATGTCGACACTCAATCGTAGAAACGAACTGTCATCGATCTGTAGACATTCTAAGAAATTTCTTTTAAATACCGCGATAACCTAATATAGATTTACCTGTTCGTTAAGCATTTTAGCCGTCCAATCAGAATTCTTACGTCTTTTCAAATTTGTATATCTTTACATGTGACCGCTAATGTTGTCAGTCGCCTGATGATTGCTTCTCTAGAGGCATGAAACTCCGAGTAGCGATTAAATGTTTTTGAACTAGTCCGACTCCAGAAGTTCATCTTTTATCTATATATATATATATATATATATATATATATATATATATATATATATATATATATATATGTATATCATATATGTCTGTATTTTTTTTTAACCTTTGCTCTTTTATTTTCGTCTCTTTCTTTTTGTCATTTCGCTTTTTTTAGCCTAGAACTATGATTAGTATGAATATCTAATGTATTTACTTTAAGATTTACTGTAGCTCTGCCATTGATTTTCCCATGTGTAATTATGATAATATTTTGTTCTAATTATCTAAAGGAGAGAGCCCATTCCTTATAAGCCCGGTGGCTTCTCTTGGGCTTCCTCGCCATGAGAGTTCAAATAATTTCATTTTTTTTTGCTTTGTACATGTTATGGCAAACAAAACAATAAACAATAAACAAAGATTGGGAGCTTGCAACCTGATATTGCACATCCATGTTGTGGTCAATCAACAGTTGTCAAAGCAGGGTATCGCTGACCAGTTTCACATGATCGCATCGCGGGCTCAGGTGTCGACCCATCGAGGTTGCGTTTTTTTTTAAGTTATCCCTTGTTCATTTGATCGCAGGCTGAATTCCAAGTGGATCTCTTTGCAAAGGTTACAAGTTTATTGTTTGGAGTAAATTCTCAGTTT